CAATATATACCCACTACAATAACGTTTTAATACATAATTTTTTAAATAGTTACTCTTACCATGGTAATGTTGTATTACATTATTTAATACTTATACTTGCCATGGTAACATTTTATTACATTATTTAATAGTTACACTCACCGTGGTAACGTTCTATTACATTATTTAATAGTTACACTCACCATGGTAACATTTTGTTACATTATTTAATAGTTACACTCACCATGGTAATGTTTTATCACTTAACACAATGTATACCCACCATAGTAATCTTGTGAAATAGTTACACTCACCATGGTAACATTTTGTTACATAATTTGATGCTTACACTCACCATGGTAACATTTTATTACATTATTTAATAGTTACACTCACCATGGTAACATTTTGTTATATTATTTAATAGTTACACTCACCATGGTAACGTTTTATTATATTATTTAATAGTTACACTCACCATGGTAACATTTTATTATATTATTTAATAGTTACACTCACCATGGTAACGTTTTATTATATTATTTAATAGTTACACTCACCATGGTATTACATATTTTTAAAGGTTTATATAAATTATTCCAATTTGATTAATATTTCCTGTGTAGTGTATTTTATTCCTTTTTTCAACCAATAGTAGTTTGTTTCTTGTTGATCTGAGATTGGTTTTACATCTTAAGTTCATGTTCTCAGTGACAAAGTTTAAAACATTGTTCATAGGAAAGGTATCATTTTATAGAATTTTTCGTGTAGTTTTTCATCCCTGAAGTAATCAGGTCCATCTGTAAAAAGTGGTGTGTTTACTTCTGGTCCAACTGTAAAAAGTGTTTACATCAGGTCCATCTGTAAAAGTGATGTTTTACTTCAGGTCCATCTGTAAAAAAGCTATGTTTTACTTCCAGTCCATATGTAAAAAGTGTTTACATCATGTCCATCTGTAAAAAGTGGTGTATTTACTTCAGGTTCATCTATACAAAGTGGTGTGTTTACTTCAGGTCCATCTGTACAAAGTGATGTGTTTACTTCAGGTCCACCTGTAAAAAGTGATGTTTTACTTCAGGTCCATCTGTAAAAGTGATGTGTTTACATCAGGTCCATCTGTAAAAAGTGATGTTTTACTTCAGGTCCATCTGTAAAAAGTGACGTTTTACTTCTGGTGTATCTGTAAAAAACGATGTTTTACTTCAGGTCCATCTGTAAAAAGTGACGTTTTACTTCTGGTGCATCTGTAAAAAAGCTATGTTTTAGTTCAGGTCCATCTGTAAAAAGTGGTGTTCTACTTCAGGTCCACCTGTAAAAAAGTGGTGTTTTACTCCAGGTACATCTATCAAAAGCCATGTTTTACTTCAGGTCCACATGTAAAAAAAAAGTGGTGTTTTACTCCAGGGACATCTGTAAAAAGTGATGTTTTATTTCAGGTACATCTGTAAAAAAGTGACGTTTTATTCAGGCACATCGGTAAAAATTACCGTTTTACTTCAGGTCCATCTGTAAAAAGTTGTGTTTTACTTCAGGTCCACCTGTAAAACAATTGTGTTTTACTCCAGGTCCATCTATAAATGTGTTTTTTTAATGTAGTTTTTAGTTGGCGCCTTTGATATTAACTTTTGATATGATCTTTTAAACTTAAAAGTAATATTTATGTGTGTATTTATGTAGATACAGGTTTTTCTTCTTTTATTTATTTATTTTTTTAAGTTGTTTCAGATGGAGTCTCCACTATGGATGTTTTTTATCCCGGGAATATAATAAAAGTTGGTACCCATTTTCACCACTAGAGGGTAGCACCTATCGTATTATCTGTAAAGCAGACAGTAATGTCTTCGGATTCAACAAAGAACTTTAAAAACATTAATTATATGTAAAAATTATCATTATAAATTTTATATCGTACATTTATACTGGATGTGACAATTTATATTTAGCTGTATATGAAATTTAAGTTTATTTAAATAGGCTTAACTCGTAATATGTGGTAATACAACGTTTGGCTGTAAAAACGCATTGTCTTATCATTGTTTTCGTTTCCGAAATTATACAGTAAGACTTAAATGTAACCCGATTTACAACCAAAAAACAAAAAAAAAGGTATTGGAATTAAATAATTTCCTTGTGTTTAAAGGTTACTAATTCCTGATGCTTTAGGACATGATGACCAAATGAGCCTCTCGTTATTTTGAAGAGCCAGTGTGGCTTCTATTTAAAATAACAGATTCTTGAAATTCAACATCTCCGTAAGTCTCCGGTAATCCTGGTAATCAAAACGTAAAAATAAATCTCATCAAATCTTTTAATGTTTGTAACTTTGTTCAAGGACGACCTGCGGGCCTTAAAGGGGACTTGCAACAAATCTTATGACGTCATCCGATAAGATGTTATTTTTGGAATTTCGCGCTAAAGCTGTTAGAGGGTTATCTGCGCTAGCCGTCCCTAATTATAAAGTGATAGACCAGAGAGTAGGTCGCTAGTCAACGTCACCCATCGCCAATTCGTGGACTACAATAAACTTTTAATTTGACCGTTACTTTTATAACTCACCCGCGAACCAAGGAACCTCGTGTGTACAGTCCTGCACGATAACCACCAGCATCGAACACGATGAACACAACTGACTGGCGTTTGAAGGAATCATAGCTTTCCAGTAGGCTCGTTCTTAGATTTATTTCGGTTGCTCGTGCGATCATTGACACATACAAAGCTTAGGGTTCAGATATTTATATGAAAATTCCAAAATTAAATCAAAACTAAAAGAATAAACATAAAAATAACTTATGTTTTTTATTAGTTTAAACAAATAATTATTTGATATACAGTAGTGGAAAAAAATATTACATCAACCAATTTCTTTTCACACTTTTCTTGGTTCCTGTTATTTCTTTTCCCGAGATTGTGGAAGTGTCAGAACTAGTGTAAAACGGTTATGGACATTGTGTGATGTATTTCAATCATCCAAACACATATATGCATAATGATAATAGAACACAATATCGTGTAGAGCAATCGGTGGAAAAACACAGAAGAAAACGTGAGACTGAAGAGGACCCACGAATGTGTCGAAACTAGTTTCTCTTGTATCAGACTTCTGACAGTTTGTTCCGTTTTTACTAACATATATGCATCTTTGTTAACGAATCAACCGCGACAAATGTATTACCGCAGATGATCAACAAATACGAAAATGTTCCATGAGTAAGAAACCTGGATTTAAAGATAACAAAACGTGATCATAGAGTCTGTTTCTTATTTCAATATTTGGTTGTGACCCCTCTGATCTTGATAATTGCTTGACATCGCCATGGAATATGACATAATTAAGCTCGTGGATTAGGGTTTCTTGCAGTTCCAAGGTGCTTCTCGGTTTCTTCTTTTATACTTTGTTACCAATTACCTTCCAATAGTTTTCGGATCTGGGCTGTTGTCTGGCCAGTTGAGTGTCTTGATCCTCTCCCTTTAAAAATGGTCCTTCACCTGAAGCAATGAAACAGAACCTGAGATATCTTTTCAATACACGTAGATTGAAGTTTTCTCTTTATCCCACGTCTACCACATGAATATTACCAACCATTTTAGTCCTGTGACAAGGAGCAGGCTCATCCTGGAATGTACACTGGTCAGTTCCACTGAAGTGATACCGAATTGTTGGCTTTAACCGGGACTCGAGCATCTCGATGTACTTGTTGACATTGACAGTACCTTTCACAAAACCTAGACGTCCCACACCCTGGCCAGAGATCCATCCCGTGTCACCTTATCCTGTGTGTGCTTCACAGTAACATTGAAACACGCTGGATGAAACTCTTCTCCATATCTACGTCGTACAAAGTTCTTCCCATCTGACCAGTGTTGAACTTTGTTTCATTTGACAAGATTACTTCGTCCACATAACTTCAGTCCACTAAGCATGATCTTTGACCCACAGAGGAGTGGTTTCTTTTTTGGGAGACACAGGTGAGACCGGCTAAACACTAGCGAGACTGGACAATGCGCATGGTGAAATCGACGATTCTGCGGGCTCGTGCGTTTTTGAACACAGTCGTCTGCTGTTGTGGAAGTTTTCTTCCCATTCCTTCCGCCACTTCACACAGCCAGTCTGTTTCTATATCTCTGTACCCAGCGGCTCACAGTAGACTGGTTAAATTCAATTCCTCTAGTAAACTGCCTTGTCGAAAGTCCCTCTTTGTTCAAAGAAATAATAGCTGTTTCTTTTATTTTGTGTGTGTGTGTGTGTAGTTAACTCTCAACCTTTGGCCACACGTACGTTGTAGCAGATAGGCTTTTAAACTGAAAAATCAGTAGGAATCTCTGTTTATAGCCAAAAAATGGCTGATGCAATACCCAGACAGCCTATAAAGCTGCTGATGACAGTACTCCGTCATCCATGAAAGACATTTCTGCCTACATACATTAAGACCTTCAAACAGAGGACGATTCCAAAGAAAAATGTGAAAAAATTGGCTGATGCAACAAATTTTTCCACCAATGTATTTAATTACATAAGCTATCTCTCAACGTACTTTTGTAGAAATTATATTATCTGTATTTGCAACAGATGGCGCTACGAATAGTAATATTTACGACATCAACATCACGTTAGATAGGTCGTAAAGATCAACAGTACATGTCTCCATATATAAGGTGAATGAGTTATACTTGAATTTTACAGTTCAATAATTGTAGCCAGAAATATACTAATTAACAGGTATTGATTAACCATAGCCAGGAAAACCAAAATAAACATTTTTTACAGAAACTTTGAGAACAACTGGTTATGTATAAATCGCAGACTCTGAAGTAGTAACTATACAAGATAACTACGGCATGACCCGTCTCCTTTGGATTGCTACTTTCAACCAATAGTGTACAGTCTTACAAATAAAAGGTTAACTCTTAACGGTGGTTGTTATTGGTCCAGAGCCGAGTCGGCTGTTGTGAGAATTCCACACTCGTGAGCGGCGCCATTGGTTCCGATTTCTGTAGCACGTGCAGTGGTATTAGTTAAGAGATGGTAAGCCGGTTTAGCTGGGTTTCATTTGTAAGCAAAGCGGGAAAGAAATAAGGGGTTTATTTGAACGAAGTTATGTTTTTTTATTTATAAGACTTCGGAAGTAGTGACAAGTTTTGGATGATGAACTATATTTTCAAACTGACGCATTTGTAAAAGAAAAGTTAATTGTATACTTACAACTCCCATGTAAACGTGTAACTTAATTATTCAAGTTCAGGTAAGTCGAGACTGGAATGTTAGAATTTGGTTTTGTTCTACAGAAAAACAGGAAAATCATAACTTAACAAAAAAAAAAAGAGAGAGATTTAGCCAGCATAAATTTTAGGATACTGCTTTTAACTTTCAGTAAATTTTAACATTTGACCATTACGTTGTTTTGTCTGTTCCCAAGCTCACTTGGCGCCATTTTAAACTTAGGAATTAAGATAAACACAATTAATGTCCAGATCTTTGCATAAAAAAATGCTATAAGCGATTTTAACAGAATAAATAGTTTGATTTAGACTATTCACATCCTATCAAAATGAGTAGAATGCGTGTCTTATTTTTTTCAGTTTGTTTTTTTTCCAGGCTCATTTGGCGCCATTGTAACCAGGATAAATAGTTATTCTCCATATATCCGATTAGAAACAAATGCTGTAAATGACTTTAACCGAATAGATAGCTTAATTAAGACCTTTATAATCCTACATAAAGGTTTGTTTGTTTGAAGTTAAGCACAATGGGCTGTCTGTGCTCTGCCCACCACGGGTATCGAAACCCGGTTTCTAGCGTTGTAAATCCGCAGACATACCGCTATGCTACTGGGGGGGGGGGGGGCTACTTGAAGGAATAAAATGTCTCTCTTTCTTTTTCTTTAGCAAACATTCAGCTCATGCAATTTATCAGTTGAGTTTGGATTCCAAAGTTAATTTATCAGTTGAGTTTGGATTCCAGAGTTAATTTATCAGTTGAGTTTGGATTCCAGAGTTAATTTATCAGTTGAGTTTGGATTCCAAAGTTAATTTATCAGTTGAGTTTGGATTCCAGAGTTAATTTATCAGTTGAGTTTGGATTCCAAAGTTAATTTATCAGTTGAGTTTGGATTCCAAAGTTTTCAAAAATAAAAATCTTTGTTTCCTTTATCCTACTAATTCATTATTTTTTCTGGAAATTATAAAGTTTGAAGGCATTGATCCGGTTCTCTCAGGAAATTTTTACTTGATGCTTTTGGTACAATCTATTTAATTCAGTACAATAGACACAAAATAGTTTCATGTTTCATGGACTTATTGTTATCATAGCTTCCTTTACAATGGAATGAGTTTCTTTCAGATATGATAGGTGCAGTTAGTTTAAAGGAGTTTAAGGGAAGGCTTGACAAATATTTGAATGATAAGGTCCGGTTTTGAGTGTTTTACTATTATTTTAAAGTTTCGTATAGTGAAGAAGACGTCCTAGATTGATCAATATTCTCCTTATGATGGTTGGAGACGACTTGAATGGGTAATGAAGAAAAAACTTTAATATAAGTCTAAAATAACAGCAAATGTACAACGTTTCGACAAGGTTTTGTCATCATCAGGTTACTAGTTTTTCTTCATTACCCTTTCAAGCCGTCTCCAACCATTATTAGTCTCAAAGTGGGTTCCTCGTCATCGAATTTAACGTTCTCCTTGTTGAGAAATCCCGATATACAATACGGTTTAGTCCTGATGTTTCAAAAAGTTTCATCCTTATTTCGAAAGTTACTCTTAGTTTAACTTAATGCCATCTTAAGTACAATCAAACATAACGTTTAATATAAAATTAATTTTCGCGTATATAACGTACAGCAGATAGAGTGACGGGTCTGTCACATATGACAGTCAACTATCTCGTGTTACTAAATCTTTACTCACTTTACGGTGTGTAATCACTTTATTGAAATAATTAATATTAATAGCAAGTCAAATTTTTCAAGGTGAACGTTATTTGTGTGCTGATATGAGTGTTGATACAATCCGGCCTATTTGTTTGTTTGTTGAATTTCGTGCAAAGTTACCCGACGGCTACCTGCGCCAGCCATCTCTAATCTATCAGGGCTAGACTAGATGAAAGGCAGCTAGCCAACACCACCCACCGCCAACTCTTGGGCTACCTGCTCTTTACCAACGAAAAGTGGAATTGAACGTCACTTTATAACACCCCCCTTAGCTAAAAGGGCGAGCATGCTCTGTGACGGGATTCGAACCGAAATCCAGTATATTATTCAGGACAGTATAGGGATTTATATTTTTCTAGAAAGTATGGTGATAGCTTTTTAAACTAGTAGTCATCAAAATGGTTTTGGTATATTTGGCAATAAGCTGTAGAATTTCGTTGTAAAAGTTTAAAAAAAAATGTTTATTCACAAATACTGTAGGTTTTTTTCCAAACCATAGTGTAGTTGTGGTATTTAAAATAAGATGATATGCTACAGGGATTGCATTTTTTTTTATATACGTACCTGAATTTCTTTATTATTTGGATTTCAGAGAGAGAGTTGGCACGATCGCTGAGTCAGATGGATCTGGAGATCTTTTTATCGGCTAGTCCTCCACTCTTCAAGCACGATGGTTTTAATAGTCTCAGCACCTTTCGCAACCAACACAAGTTGAATGGCTTTACGAATGTGTACACGTATCCAAACCATTCTAAAATGCCACCAATTCGTTCGTGTCTCCTGATGCGTGAAGATGATGTCACATTGGAGTCCAAAGATGAGGTAAAGGGCAAAAAACGCGTGTGGTTCGCTGACGATAAAGGATTAGCCCTCACGCACGTTCGATTCATGACGGAGCCCTCGGATTGCCCACCCAAATGGAGTGAAGAATTCTTAGAATGTATAACTCGAGGGGCAAGACCCCAGGTGAACGTGGAATATAAATGGGAACCATCTTTTACTCAGCCGGCTTCTGATTACATAGAGTTTAGAAACAAGTTGGAACTTAATTGCGTGTCTTTGGAAAATGTGATAATTAAAGACGATGACCAATTCACCGGTACCGTGAAAGTCAAAAATCTCTCTTTCGAAAAAGAAGTGTTTATCCGGATAACCTTCGATCGTTGGCTTAGCTACCAAGACGCGCCCGCCATGTTTGTCCCACATGGAATGGAATGTTCATCTTCTTACGATACGTTTTCCTTCTCGGCTGCAATTCCTTCGTCAGCAGCCAAGTTTGAAGTAATAGAATTCTGTGTATGCTTCAAAAATCAAACCTCCGAATTTTGGGACAATAATGGCGGTTCCAATTACAAGCTGGTCTTGTCCAAAATGAAACCCCAGGAATCACTTGATCTACAAAAGTTCGTCGACGCCTTCAAAGCAGAATTTGATTCCTGGACTGACTTTGCCAGTTGGAATCATTTGGTTACTGAAGGACCTTACTGGTAAACTCGACAAGGTTTTATTTAGAATTATGAAGCATTTAAAGAAAAATTGATTTACAATATTAATGTTTACATCAGCTAGTATGTATATTTTCAAGATAAATATAACAAAGAACAAAATCTTGCTTCAGTTAGTACAGTTTGGATTTTAAATTCAAGCACAAAGTATAATGTGGACTCTTGTAATATGCCGGAGAACGATGGAGAGAGATATATCAAGGGGATAAAAATCTCCGAGCATCCTTCTTGGATATACATATATTTGTGTAAGTGCATGTTTACCTTTCAAACTACCAATTGTTAAAATACGTCTGTCAATGACCGTAGCCGATCCACTTCAGCCGTTCTTTGGCTTTCTCGAACATGTGTTTGTTTGTTATTCTTTTGTGTGTATGTATGTTCCTCAATTGTGGACTCGCAACTCAAATATACCTAGTCACAGATCTGTCATCTCTGAAAATTCTCAAACGGATTTTTATGGTGAGTGTAAATTAAGTTTCACTATATTGTGATGTTAGTTTAGTGCTTACTTTTTATATCATTTGAATTTCTTTGTTCTGCTCAGTTTTTAAGTGGTAAGGTATTGAGAAGTGTCTTTTCTTATCAGTGGAACGTGTGTAAGATTTGAAAAGTGCCTTTTTGTCAGTGGAATGTGTTTTAAGTTGTTGAAAGGTGCTTTTCTTATCAGTGGAACGTGTGGTAAGATATGAAAAGTGCCTTTTTTGTCGGTGGAATGTGTTTTAAGTTGTTGAAAGGTACTTTTCTTATCAGTGGAACGTGTGGTAAGATTTGAAAAGTGCCTTTTTTGTCGGTGGAATGTGTTTTAAGTTGTTGAAAGGTGCTTTTCTTATCAGTGTAACGTGTGGTAAGATATGAAAAGTGCCTTTTTTGTCGGTGGAATGTGTTTTAAGTTGTTGAAAGGTACTTTTCTTATCAGTGTAACGTGTGGTAAGATTTGAAAAGTGCCTTTTTTGTCGGTGGAATGTGGTCCTTTTCGCGTGAGACAGCTGTCAAATCTCAATTTGTAGGTTTGAATGTATGTCCGGGAACTAGCAGGCGTCCTTATCTATATCCCTTTAAAATAACCCATGCATGATGAGGAGAGTAGGTTTTAAGAGTATCAGAACTCGAACTGGATTTAGGGGCGCCATATTTGAAACTATCTTCATATCCTGACTCACAAGCTAGTGGGGCCACACATAGCAATAAAGCGTTTAACTTTTTTTGGGGGGGCACAGACCCCATTGAGTACACTGGGGCCTCTGAGTGGGGCCATTGAACTCCTCAGCGGATTGCGGATATGTTACGGTAATATCCGTACAGAAAGTAGCTGGAAGATTTGGTAATCACATAGCATGTAAATGTTTTTCTTACAAGTTTATGGTGGTTTGTTTGTTGTTAGGCGCAAAGATACATAATGGGCTATATGTGCTCTGCCCACCAGTAGTATCGAAACCTGATTTTTTGTCGTTCTAAGCCTACAGATTTGCCGCTGAGCCACTGGGGGAGGGACACAGTTAGACAAGCGTATTCCTGGCAGTGGGAGGGTGTATTTCAGGAGGAATCTTCTCCGTAATTTGCTGTAAATGTTCTCCAATACGTTCGTTTTTACATCTTCCTGCTTTGATAAACAAATCACTTGACAGTCACGTTATGATTAGCATTTAAATACACACTTTTACATCCTTCTGGTATTTTTTACCAAAAAAAAAAGGCAAAATTCATAGTCTGGGAAGGAACATTTATGGTCAAAAGCGGCCCAAGCTTTAAAACTCAATAGAGGTATTATAAGATTAAAGTTTCTGTCTTTTTGAGATGAAGATTACTGAATGAAGGTCACTATTTTTTTTTTGATTCAAAAGAAAATGAATTTAAAGAAATTCTATTATCTGTCAGAGTTTTTCAATACGATTCATCATATGAAACATATACGATTAAATCTTGCAAGACGTTTATTTAGTTTACAGACTTACAACCATAAAATCCGGTGTTCGATTCACCCACTGCGGACAGACGGCGTTACCTTCAGGATTTTTGTTTAACGTACGCATTCTAGTTTATGTACTGGAGGTGTACAAGATAGTGCTTAAAAACTGAGTAAATATCGTGTTAAGTACACCGAGTTTGATGTTAACTCACGTTACTCGTAAAGTCTTCCGCGGGAGTAAAAAGTTCCCTAAACTTTGTCATGCCACGGTTTGAAACGGCGTAAAATTAAATTAATAACACTTCTTTAAATTTGGATCTTAGCTCTAATATCACCTCCAACATTGAGGAAGTGATATTATTAAAAAAAAAAATAGTTCTAGTACCATTGTATTGATTTGGAAAACATAAATAAATATA